CACCTGTGCTCTCCTTCACTACAGTAGTATTAGTAGCATATCTTTTGTGTTTTAATCAGTGTAGCTAAAGTTTGTACATATTTAAACTTAAAATCTAAAATGGTTTAGTGAAAAAGTATTTTCTAAGAACAAAAAAAAATCGAAATTATTGATTCTGTGTTTTTTTTTAAAAATTCTTGATCTCTTCAATTTTTCAGTCAAATACTTTGGGTACACGTTGCATTATGTGAAAATAATTTTGACGTAAGTTCACTTGTTGATTGAATGAATAATAAATCATATGAAAATCATGTCAAAGCTAAAGTGAATTGTGGAAAGAATTAGAAATTTCCTAGATTGAATGGTCATTTGGAAAATTCAGCATTCAAATATGTAGACAATGGGATAATTCAAATCTATTACAAATTAAGTGAAAATTTATATCCTTTACATAAATGAGAGCCTGTCTTAGTTGAGCAGCTAAGATGATAGCAAGACAGCATTTAAAACTGATGGCATTGGGGTCGAGTTCCAGAGTGAACATCACTACTGTGATGTAAGTACACCCAGCTGACGAGTCCCAAATGGAAAGAAACGCACGAACTGGATACAGTAATTCTCTCATCCCATTTATTAAATGGAAACCAGAACAAAACTTAAAAAATCCATACAAAATTTGCTTAACGCTTGAAATTCGCTAAAATCGTCCGAATGATGTCCGAATATTGAAGTTAATATAATCCTGAGAGTTATTTTTAATTTTAACCAGTGATATTAACCTTATCCACAGTATAGAAAAGAATATGTACAAAAAACCACGGCAAATTGATTATCACATAAAAAAATATGTAGTGGTTACTAGCTTAAGGTGATTATAAAGTAACATAAGTACGTGGTGTCATACGTTCAGTAAGATTTAAATGACCTACTCATTGTTTGTTATTCGGTGAAATACGGAACTAAAAGTATTGAGATTTTTAGGTAGGCGCACAGTTAATTTCAGAATTAAATAATATATTCTATGCTCAAATATACTAGATGAATTAATATAATATAATAATGATATAATAATATAACACTAGTTAATATTAAGTAATATTAACTTGTGTACCTAAGTTTTATTACTAGTTAGAAATGAATGTATTAGAGGAATGTGTAGCAGTATATCGACTGTACTAAAGCTGTATCACTATTAATTAACGTACGCAATAAAAAGCTTAATCATAACAATTCGTTTTCTTCGTTTGGACTTTGAAGGTGAACGGTAGGCCATAAGAAATAGTGAAATTTTGGAACCAGCAACAAGCACCAACAGACTGGAAAGAAGGATACCTCATCAAAATACCAAAGAAAGGCGATCTCAGCAATTGTAAGGACTACAGAGTCATCACTCTTCTCTCAACATCAAACAGTCTTCAACAGGGTATTGTAAAACAGAATGAAGGACTTCATAGACGACCAACTTGGAAATCAACAAGCTGGATTTCATAAGGAATAATCTTGGAAAGGGAAGCTCAGGACAAAGTAGGTAGGACGATACTGGTCAGAGGTCCATGCTCCTTTAAGGGTGGATAACAGATGTAAATGAGTAAGAAGTTATACATTGTAATTCAGACAGTCACATTAATCTCTCTATCCCTCACTCCAATAAAATTGTACATAAGATAATTATACATTGGAACCATTCATGATATAATAATCGAAGATGTCAATAATCTATCTTCACGCAGTCGTCTATTTAATTAATTATTAATTGTTCCCTTAATAATCAAGTTCATAGTTTAATATATGGCAGATAGAGATATGTACAATACCTGGTGTGAGTGTGTGTAATTAATGGAATTATTTTGATTATCCTTTTTTCAAATACTCATGAAAACTTTCAAAAACACGTCACACCTTCTAAGTAAGACTATTTATCAACATATTTACGCCATAAGATTTAAAGTCATACATATATTAGGATTGGATTAATGAGGTGGCAGTTGTTTAGAGTTTTAAATCAAAAGAGGAATGTAAATGGTAATGAATTCATGTCACCTTATCTGAATTGTTGTACAGTGCTTATTCAAACGATACCATTATAAATGGTGAAGTACGAATGTAAACCAGATGAATCTTTCCAGTTAAACTGATCAGTAAAAACAGTCTTTGTCATGTACACTATAAACAGCATTTATTGATATTGACTAATAAAATGGCTTTTCGTAGGCTATAAGTCTCGTTCACTTGATTTTATCACTGTCATATAATCGTTTCAGCCTTGTTCGATGAAAACTCTACTGAACTGAACTGTTAGCAGATGAGTTAGAATACTGACTGAAAATATGTAGCACATCTTATTTATGGATCATAGTATGTCGGTGCTGTTAAGTTACACTGATAGACTTTTATTTTTTCCGTTCTGTTTCTGAACGGATTTGTTATACCATGTTTAGTAATTTGGATGAAATATGTCATCACTGCCATTTAAACCTTTTTAATTGAAGAAAGATCCGTACATCTTTGATCGAAATGTGGTTTTCTCAGTACACAACAAAGCAATAGAGACTTATTATATTAGTGATCAGATTACTTTTTAATAGTTTTACATATTGACCTCATGGAGACAAAGTAGAATAAAAAAAATAAAGATATTTGTTTTATAGTTTTAAATTAATTGCCATAGATTATCTACCCACTCAAGACAGGTAATATTACCATCAAGCATCGATCACCTAAATCTATTCTACTTGTAAGGTTATATATCTGGTATGATTATGACTTTGCTGAACTACAGTGAGTTGGTCGTTTTTATCACATTTCAGTAGTCTCTTTTAATTATTTATTACTGTTTTGAAAAGTTTATAACCCTTTATAGCCCATGCTATATGATTTAAACACTTTTGACGGATTTATGGCTCTTTTAGTAAACCATAATAATCCAGTGATAAATGGTATTTAGCTATTTGCTGACGACATTTGAGCATACATCACACTTTCTTGAAATCTGCTCATCCAATATACTTATTATTTATGTGTTTTCTATTGCGATCAATGAAGTAAGTATAGGTCTATTCACTTCCTCTTTAGGAATTGCATATAATATGTGCGTCGGACAGCTGATTGAAAATGTGTGATATGTGAAACACGTAAAAAGACTTATTGCTCTGCTGTATGTATGAGTTTATGCGTTTATTTTTATTAATTTCTTATTTCTACGACGGCTTTCAACATGATTTGAATGTTTTAAAAGCATGTATAAAAAATTTATTCCCCAAACTTGGTTATTTCTCCATTAAAATATGATGCATTCATCTTGTTTATTAACGATTCGTTGTGCTTTTGCGACCGTAAGAGATATTTTTCTCTCTAAACTTTGACTAGTGATCTAAGATTAATTCATTAAAATCATTTAACATTATCTTGATTAGTTTGTTTATATTGCTTTTTTTTCAACCGAATTCAATGCATAGTAACTTCTTCCAGCTTGTTTGACGATAATCAACGGATCTTATTGAAATTCTGCTCTTCACATTTGCCCAGCATACAGCAACGTTTGGATTAGACACAAATCGTTAAATATTGATGAACTTATCGGGATACAAACGTCACAGAAATAAAATGCGAACGTATTCACAGCAAAGTTCTATCAAAAACCAAGTACTGTGTACTGGTTATTAGTTGTATTCAGTAGAGTATAATATTCTTAAGCAACGGATATTTAAGATCACTGAATTAGGATATAATATACGACTTAACGAATCCTATGAAATTAATTTTTTAATGAATAAAGGTAACCAAACGAAATTGTCAGAGTGAACAAAAAACATTTCATTTATACTCAATAATGATCTGATGAGGATTCAGAATTATTTACTGAGTTTTTTCATTTCATCTGGGTAACGTTAGATTGATTCGCACGCATTTTGTTTGATAATGCTGTTCTGAAGAGACATACAAAGCCTCTCTTATTGAGTTACACATATAAATATCTTTCATGAGCTTATTTGAAGAATGTCCAATACCTCGAGTAGGGGTTTTCGTGCTACATTTGATGGGATTCTATGGTTGCATAAATTTTATCTTTTCGGTAATATTTTAGTAGTTGTTTATTCTGACTGGAGCCCATCTGGGTCTACTGCCGATCCCAAGCCCGGATAAAGTAGGAGGGTTGGGAGTGAGTTAGTGACACCATCACGTAGAAAACTAACTCATAAAAAAACGCTAACCAGAAATATCAATTCAAGTAAGAAAGGCGTCGATTTTGTAAATAGCCATATCGATTTAGTTTTCTTTTGAAGAAAGCGGGTTTTCTCAACGAGAGTCAAAATCAGAAATTATGTGTTGAAAATTTTCTATCACTTACAACATCATGAATAACAATGTCAGTTTAAATGATAACCACTTAATCAACTAATTAATTTCACTGTTAGGAGGTATTAAATACTATAAGAAATATTTCCTTAGATTTTCTTTAAATGAAGCCTGAATTTCAGTGAATCTGATTTGTTTTATAGGATGGTTGATGAGAACCCAGTTGTATAGAAACATCAAACTTCATGATACAGAAACATTCGAAAATATTATCTAAACTGGTGCAAAATGTTAGGAATACATGATGGATTTCACTGTCATGAAATAAAACTTTGAATGTAGTGGTTTTCATAAGAACCAAATACATTCATAAACATATTCTATCACTATGGTTAATATTCTAACTGACTGAAGCTTCATTATTAAAGGAAGTTCGAATGGACTAATAAACAAATGTGAATATAACATGAGACGATTGAGCCAGAAAAATAAATTAGACAGAATACATGTGAAACTTGAAGTTAATCAATCAATATTTGATGTCTAACAAGTAGTCAGTTGATCTGTTTATGAAACTCGGGAAACAGATCAAATGATGATCAGAGAAAGCGGTTAATGAAGATATACAATTAACTCCAACAAATACGACATTAGCAACTCACTCGACCAATCAATAAATAAAATCATTGGTTAAATAGCTGACCATTATTATCATTAGTGAAACAATTAAGAAAATATTCAACATAAACACATTACATTCTATTTATTTATTTGAAATAAAAAATCTAGAAATCAACAAATGATCTATGTTGTTTTGATTTGTGAACAATTAGATTTATTAATTTTCTGAAAAATAATAATGATTATTGTTAAATGTATTTTGAATTAAAAATTTAACATCAAAATAATACTTGTTATTGTTGAAGTTAAAAGTTCAACATTTCATTTAATTTTCACAAACGCATTGATATTCACTGATTTTATATTGGTAACACTGATCATTTTTGGTTTGGCTATGTTTACCAATCAGTGGTTATGCAGAAAAATGATCAGTCTATTGAATGTTGATTTGTTTGATCCATATGGAGATAATTGTTTGTCTGCTGGTTTTTATTTATGCATAGAGATTACAAAGAGAAGGCACTTAATCACTGTGACAATCAACAGATTGTGTATAGATAAGCAGGTTTTTTTTCTGATGATTACAATCAGTATATCAAAGAATCGCATTCACAATGTCTATACATTTTAATGACAGCCTGTATGATCACTAAAACTAAAAGACTAATAATTTTAAAGTTTCTTTTTCAATAAATCATAATTAATAAAAAGCAAAAAACAGAATTCTTTAGTTCATAAAAATAGTCAAAGGTTTTATGCATTATTCGCCTTTGTGCTTTAGTTTTAAATTTCCTCACCTCTATCGGTTTTTTGTATTGAATAATATTCAATTCTATTCAATCACTTAAATAAAAAGTACAAGAAGTATGTGTAAGTGTCTAGATACTATTTTTTTTGTTGTTGAGTGTTTATGTATAAATCTGAATGTCAATGAATTTGATATAACGTTTTTATCATATAATAATATCCAGATTCATGAAGAAAAGAAATTCACAGACATGACATCGTACAACCAGTTTGTATGTTTGTTTGTCTAATGGCGCTATTTTGAAACTATTGTGCAGAGCTGCGTTTATGTTAATTTTGTTTTACAACTGATAATTTGAATGGAATTAGTTACGTTGTCTTGAATAAAGTAATATATGTTATGTTAAAAAACAAAGTCGTCAGTGCTGTTGAAAATAATATCTTCATTTATGCATGTCTACGAGTATATTTATAAATTGCTGTGAATAAAAGATGATAGTCGGAGATTTTGTCATATGTTAGTAGTTGACAAAGGCTATCATACCGGCCAATAATTCAGCGGATATTCTTTATATATATAAATATATATAGAGATGCAGGTACACAGATTGTTGCAATCATGCCGATCGTTTTGTGATACAAAATAAAACAATAAGATTAATTTCAAATAAACTGTTATTACTATTATTACTATGGACAATAATTGATATCACTGAGAAAAAAAAAATTAATCTTTACTGGATCAATATTTGCAAAAAAATACTCAGTATTTAGCTATTTCTCTTTTGAAAAATAGTGATATGTTTCACTTATTACCATTGCAATGGTTTATTTCACCAAATGAAGGAAAGATCAATATGCCAAACTAACAGTGAATGGATATCTTTTACTGTGAAATAATACTTTTTTGCCATTAATATTATCAGGTAAAGGAGCTCAACGAACTCTTAACAATTTTCTAGGTTAAAGTAACAATTATATGCAATCAGCATTCATGCTAATGGTATCGTTTTTTAATTGAGCATAAACAAAAACAATTATTAGGTACATTCAAAAATTTAGTATAAAAAAAAACAGATGATGATTTTTATTTACAAACAGTAAAATCTATTCATATCAATTGATTGTCCATTCTAATCATCTCTAATCAGGATGCAATACAATTCTCATTACATAACATGCAAATTTAACAAATTATCAAAACTGAACATTGTAAATTGTTTTTAAAAAAATTTAAGTTTTCTTTAAATTCAGTAAGGTATTATTTTTGATCGCCTAATCAAACGATGACTAGATTTGAATTTCAAACTCAGTTGATTGACATCTTCAAATATCGGCTGGATTGGAGTAAATGTTTGTTCATGTAAATCAGGCGATAGATTTTCTTTCAGTAGGACTATTGAAGATGTGTTCATATGTGAAGTGTTTGTACTGATCATTGGATTATTCAACTTCCATAAACTGGTATCAAAATAATTATAAACATCATTAGATGGAGATTGATATAATTCATCGTCATTTTCACAATGTTTGCTAGATAAATTGATGACTGAATTATTTTTAGTCATTAAAGCAGTTGCAGCTGATGCTAATCGAACATTAAATGCCCACATTTCTTGGTGCATTGCAATACTGATTTTTCATATGTTTAGTATTTGCACCATTCCAAAATTATACGATCAAATAGTTAAACATTAGAGGTTATTGAAGTTTATGTTGTATATGAGTTTAATTTATCAGTGATATTTTTTTCGACATGACGTAGTATCACGTTGATATTTCATATTTGAATGCATATCATCATAAGAATGTGTGTGTATGTGCATTTAAGTGTGTGTAAGAGAGAGAGAGAATCAATGAGTAATTGGGAGATCAACATGCATGACATTTTTACAAATAGTAGGCATTATCAATTTTATAATCAGCAGCAGTAGAATGAGAGAATGATGGAAGAAGAGAAAGAGAGAAGAAAAAAAGTATACTGCAAATAAACACGTGCACAAATAATCATGATGAACTAAGCATGCATTCATTTCTCTATGTAAAAAATAATTGAACATGCATTACAAACTCTGCAGAAATTCAAGTTTTAGATAGACTAATTAATTATACTTCTAACTTCATTTAAAAAAAAAAAATTTACTGACATCATTGATGTCAGTAGGAGTCAGTAGCTGTCTAACAAATAAAACCTATGTATATATTCATGAAAATGTTTTGAAAAAAACTAATGCTATCAAAGAAGTCTCTAATAAAAATAATAATAATAATAATAATACTGACTGTCCATTAGGAAAATATTTCTATTCAAAATTAATTATTGTCAAATTGAAATAATACATTATGCATAGATACTCTAAAATATACTTAATCTAAAAATACTCATTATATTTACTTAAAGTTTCGATTTTCTAGTGAAAAACGATAGACAGTACTCTCAGCTCATGAATTTGTTAAGTCATAAGTAGTTTAATTTAATTTCCAGTTTCACTGGCACAGTTAATTTTCACAAACTTTTATAGATAGTCAAGAGAATGATGTTGTTTACCAGTGTTAATAATTAAGATAAATTGGTTCATACCAATTTTACAATCTAAACAAATGTCTATATCGATTCAGTTACTGTTTTTGAAAGGTTTCTGATAATCTTGTTCAAAATTTTAATTGATCAGTCGATTATTATACTTATCATAATAAGTTTTTATTGACTAAATGTCACTGTAACACTAAAGAAAATTAGCGCACTAAGAGTGAATAGTGGTTTTACAGCCTAAAGTCTATTATCAATATAAGTAACTCGAAGGACATACGGTATTGGCATAATTACTTACTTACGCCTGTTACCCCTGATGGAGAATAGGCTACCGAACAGTATTATCCAACTATCTCTGTCCAAGGCCTTCCTATCCATTTCTACCAGATTGTCATTTATTCTTTCCAAGTTCGCCTCCACTTCTGGCCACAGTGTGTTCCTTGGTCTATCTCTTTCCATTTTGGCGTTGAGGGTTCCATCCCCGCCTAGAGCCCTTCTGAGGTTATGGCTGATCTCATGTCCGGATTAAAGAAGATTATCTGGTATGAAATTAATTACCCTGTCTCATAGAAAACCAACTTGGAAAGAAAACGCTAGCCAGAACATTCACTATTGAGGCCATACATTATTCATTGTGCATTTCATTGAATATATAAGAATATGAGAACCAAAAGTCATAACAAATAACCGAAATGTTTGAAATTCCAGATGATGAGTTTGAGTGTCTGGAGGCCTCCCAGCAAATTTAAGCCAAGAATAATAGTGAAACATAACACCTAATGTAAAGGCACTTGAGATGATGGAGAAAGTAAGTAGCTCATGTGGATGATTGTGATGGAATTTCGTTTTCTGAGCCGCATGTTTTGGTTGTGGGACTTTCATTGTTCTTCCGAACAGCAGCATGATGTTGTTGTTGATGAAATTGTTCAAAAGAACAATGAAAGTCCTACAACCAAAACATGCAGCTCAGAGAAAGAAACTAAGCACAATAATATTTTATTCCTATATATTCTATTTCCACTTTGTATAAAAAAAATATTTAGATTGAATTACAATTAAAATGTAAACAAATGCTAGAATAGAAATACGACCAAGAGATACAATAATCAACAAAGCATTAATATATAATAAGCAAAGATAACAAACCTGCTGTTTATTAAGAATTGAGCTAAATTCACTGAATCCAACTTTCCTGAAACTGTAATCTTTCTTTCTTTTGCACCATCTTCACAGTTGGAAATTTTAATTTGTGCTTTAGATGCATTTCTAATTTCATTGATTGTTGTACCACCACGTCCAATAATACAACCGATCACATCATTAGAAATAATCATTTCTCGGACAATAATACTTTCTTCTGTATTTGCCAAAGAAAATAATGTGTTTTGTTGTTGTGGATTTAAAATTGTACCGGCTGACAAAGATGGAAGACCAAGTAATGATGTTGTATTCTGTAAGCCACGAATCGATTTCATGGGATCTATTAAATTTGAAAGTGGTGCATAATTGTTCATTGAATCCATCTGTAATGAACCATTACAAATGGATGAATTATTTGGTGATGCATTGTTGCTATTATTATTTATGCACATATCAGACTGATTCATAGTTACATCACTATGACTGTTAGCTGTTGATGTTGTAAACTGATCTTCAGGCAGTCTATTTGATATTTTGAGAAGAGCTGTAGGTGCTGGAAACATGTAGTTATTTGGTGAACCAACAAGTGGTAAAGCAGCAGCTGTTGGAGTAGGATAACAACCAAGTAAACTGGGTGTGAGAGCGATTTCTGGCATAGTTAAAGGTTGTCCAATGGAATGAATTCCGGTTACAAGAGGATTAGTATTTTGTAATGGAGCCAAAATTGATGAAAAATACGATTGAAAATTAGCTAAATCTAATTGATTCAATGTAGCAAACAAATGAACTTGATCTAGAAACAGAAAAAAAATGGAATAACATTTAGAATTAGGTGAAAAACGATGTTGCATGGAGTACTTTTACTTTTCCTAGCATCAGTTAAGTATAATTGTGAATATTTTTGAACATAAACCATGTTAACTTAGCTTTGACCTTATGTGTTGGGGTCAACTGTTATAAGAAACAGTTTTACGAGTAAAGCTGACATAAAATTACTATCTGTAGTAATATTAAGAGTGAACATGATTTTTGTTCTCTTGTTACAGGGAACAATATTGTTTAGATTATTGTTGATGAAGGGAACGATGATGGATTGTTATCTATCGTTAATTAGACATCATATAAAGTAAAATAATTCTAAAGGTTATACTTGAATCAGTGGGAGGAATTCTGATGATATATATGTTCGGCGCAGCAAATACCTGGAAGCTCATAAAAATGACTACATTAAGATATCAACACTTAATCTGTTTCAATACTATGGTTATTGATGTATCTCAGCATAAACATTCTAATTATAACAAACGTTTAATATGATAATCTGAAGAAATCTACAAAATTATCAACATATTTGATTGAAAATCTTCATGTTGCTGTAATACATGCAGGCTGTCAGGTACTTCTGTGGTTACATCACAAGATTGAGCTTTCCTGTACAGGTTGTAGTGTTAACACCTGGGCAGTGTTTGGTTATCCTGAAAACCAATGTAAAATTACCTTACCCGTTTTATTTAAATCAAAAAATATAATATATGTAAATATGTTTTGTTACTTATTTTATCATTCCGCTGAAAGTTTATGAATCAAATAATACTGATCAAGTATTTACCAAATTTTAAGTTGATAATGATATTTCAGAAATTTCTGTTAAACATATAGATCCAAGTCACATTGATGATTGAGCGTATAAATGACTTGTTTGAAAGAAAGAATCTAGATAGCTTCAAGAACCGTGGAACATAAAAATCCCGCAGTTTATCATGATTTTTAAAATATGACTTATATTCCTATCATATTGCAGTGAATTATTAATATTTCATAATATTCAGCAAGGGAAAATCTCAGAAAATTCAAACTTCATAACAATATTTAACAAACTTATGTTTAACCAAGTATATACATAAACAAATTCTGTAAACAACAGGTGAACAAACGGATAATCACATGAGTAGTCTACTTTATTTATTTCAATTATTTATTTTCCAGTTAAAATTAAAATATAAAATTAGTATTTTAAAATAAAAAAATACAAGCAAAAAGAAAGATACTTTAATAAATTAAATAATTATTCATCTATACAAAAATGAACAAGAATAAAGACAGATGTGATGATGAGTTTAATTAAATTAAAATAAATGTATATTTATGTCTGTGTTAAGTGTTTGTACAGGAATGATACTTTTCAATGATGAATATTTTAGAATTAAAAAAAAATAGTGATGAACTGTGTAAGTTAATGTTTGACAAGATAAAAAAAAACTAATCCTCAGTCAGTCTACCTCGTAGATATTCTCTTTTCAGATTTCGTAGTAATTATAATAACGAATTCACAATTACTGACTGAAATAAATTTTTTTTCTTAAAATCAAAGGTCGTAAGAGTGAAACTGAATCTCTTCTGCAGCTTTAGTGTTTAAAGAATTCAATTACAAACAACTCTAACTTCGAAATTGAAATTCATAATTACTAACACTTTTAAATGTTGTGCGAATTCCGGTTGAGTGTTGTAAAATTGTGGATGGAAACTATCTGCTGAAACATAAGACGATAATTATTCATGAAGATGCGTTTTAATTTAGTAATGTTGCGACAAGCACGAGCTGCAAAGTTCTTCACAGTGAAAAAAGTGATTTTTGCTACAGTATTAACAAAGACAATCGTATTTTCACAGATGAATTTTTTCAGAATAAAGATAAACCTAATTTAATCTTTACCACCAAGCGCAAGAAAAGTATGCTCAGAAGACATGACAGAAGTGGGACTTTCAACAGATTTCCCGCAAATGTGGTTATCCATTCAGGTTTGTTGAGCATATCTTGGAACTTAACTTACAAGCTAAATTACCTCGTATATTTCCTAAGAAAACTATACTCAAGAGTATAGGGTTTGAATGAGATACTGCCGCAGTAATTTTGAAGGATAATCATAAAAAAAATCTTTGAGTAGAACTTTTTATGCCACTATGCTTCGCATCGTCTCTTTCGACCACGCTGTCATTCTTGGGTGCATCAACTACATTTAGGTTATTATACTGTGTCTGCCGTTTCACTGATTACATCACATGGAAATTGAGTCATTTTAAAGTGTGGACATAATAGTTAGAACTCGTACGAAATGAAGTAACTTCAAGTAAATTAGGGACTTTAAGCTATCTCAGTTCAACTATAGATTATCAAATATTTTGGTCCTACAGAAAGCATACCATGGTTTCGATAGATGTATTTCTTTATTCTAACTTATTAATATTTTTAGAGCAAAAGTAAAAGTGCTATTTTATAATGTTGGCACATGAATAAGTAATTACTAAAAGATTTCACACAGCTAGTTACCTAATCGCTATTTAAATAGCTGCCAAATTATGGGTAGCTGTGTATCAATCTTTTTTATGTTAATGCATCAAGTCAGTTAATCTCATTGGTTAACATTGAAAGCTAAGAAAAATCCTATGAAAGATGATTATCAAACTAAATGTTGTGAGGACCAGGTAATCATGCAGTCTCACTATCTATTTTTGCTGATTTTTTTGATTAAAATAACAAAATAATAGTATGGGATTGGCTACAATGTTTCATGTTTCATTAATACATGTTACCGATATCACTGAGTATCGGAAAATATATATTTCTGATTAATAACATTCCGAATATTGTAAATATCTATCCTAACTTAAAAGCATATCATATTTTTTTAATAGAAACTGTGTTATATATTTACAAAAGTTTCGTTTATTTATGGTAAAAGGATCTTCACTAGTTATTGTACTTTCTTCTTAAAGAAAAAATTACACTTTATTTCCATTTTATTCCCTAGTTCTGTCATGTTCGTTTGACATTTGAACATGGTAAAGAACAACTTCTGTCATTAGCATTTGAATATTTGAATATTTTGTTCAAACTAAAATAAATATTTTGAACTACAAAACATTAAATGCAAAAAAAAATTGAAACACAATGTTTCAGATTTGTACATACCTAACTAAGCAAGAATTATGGGACAAAGAGCTGTATACTAAACTTAAGTAAATACTTAGAAGATATACATCAATAATGATAAAAAGCAGTAATTTGTATAATTCATCGTAAAACAACATGAAACAGAGTGGACTAAAACAAAAATATTTTTAGTCATCAATGTGTAGTTTGTGCTTGAATTTTTAGATAAAAAGAAGAAGTTTACTTTTTTCAAGTAAACAAAGTAAAAGTCTGTTGTTAGTGATAACGATGATGATGACGCTAAAGACAATAAAATAATTGTACAATAGTTACTTTGGATAATATTTTAGTAAATTAATAAACAGAGTTTTATGATAGTGTATACTTGAAAATTTCATTACTGTAACTAATCAGTGGTAATTGTTCATTTATGTGGGTCAACATTTATTACAATATTTTATGATGAGGCCATACACTAATATCTTTATTATTGTATGAAACTATCATGAACCTATATTGAAAACAAAATAGCATATTGCGCATTATTTTAAAGTAATAATTTTTTTTAGAAGAAAGATGATTTATCAGTTAGGATGAGTAAATAATCACATTTACTATTAGTTTGGTCTTCTTTACAGAGAGATACACTAACAGACTATTTGTTACAATGAAGTTTTGCATTTTCATCGTCACAGTTAATATCTATCTATCTATCTAATAATTCCTTTTGCGATAACTGAACTTGGACATATCCGTATCAATTTATTCCCAGCTCGAATTATAGTCTAATTTTTATTGATGTTAAATAATTATTAATACTGAAAAAATCAAATTTGACTATAAGTAGAACTAAACAGATGTTCAAGATTACTTTGTTGGCTTTTTCTTATATGAGAAATTCTTATCTTTGACTATTTAGTGGTTTAGATTTTAACAAAAAAAAATAGTTGGTAATAATGAATGATATGAAGAGTACATGAAATAACATTCCTGACCAGTGTAATATAAGTGGAATAATTCTCAATGATTTTGTTGAAAAAACCAATACCAACTCGATAAGAGATTTTATTGTCACTCATTTTATGGTTGACCAGAACACTGCATGCAAAATAAATCAAACTGGAAATGTATTCAATACACTTAAAGCTTCATTATATTATGGTCAAACTATTTCTCCCATTAATCCTAACATGTATTTCTTTTTTTTGACACTTGAATATCATAAATAGTCATATATATATATATATATATACATATATATATATATATTTCTCATTGATATTTCTACTAGTAATAATAATCTTTTAATAACAGAACAAATAGAAATTATTATTATTATTTTTACCTGCAATAATATCTGACATTTGATTAATTGGTCGACCAGAACCAATCATTGTTAAAGGAGATTGTATTGTATTTGGTGTAGGAAGATTTGATATAATCGATGTATTATTAACACCACAACCAACACTACATGAACCAGACACTCCAACTCCACCAGCTAAAATACCAGATGGTACTGTAAATTGATTTGTATAAGTTCTATTTAAAGATGTTGGACTGATAGAGTTCACTTCGTTTGATAACAATGAAGGTGATGTTAACATCGATGTACTATTATATCCTGATTCATGAGAATTCTTATTCATTAAAATAAATAAAGATAAATGATGAACAATAAAATACATTACTTTCAACCTTAATCTCACAAAGAAAATTAAAAAAAATGTTCCTTAAACTTAAAATGAAACTTTCATGTACTCATTATTTATCAAGATAGAGTGAAAACTTTGTAACTCTTCTTCATCAATTAATGCAGATGCATCGATATAAGATAGTGAGATATTAATTTAAAGTTTACTATTTTGATCTCACTGAAAAAGAAATATTGATCTACTGGTAAGTTCACAGTTTACATGAATATTGGATGAAATAAAAAAAAAGCTTTTGAAATTAATAAACTTAATATTTGAATAAGCCTGTGAAGATTTTTATGAAAACTTCAGATATAACAAACTATTAATAATGTTGAACAAGGTTGCTTGTTAAAACTTAGCTTACAGTATGTAGGATATCTTTCAAATCATCTAAAAAGACTAGTCTCCTGTCAAATACTTTTATGCATCCCTAAAAAATTTAACTAGTGATTCATAAAAAACATTGAATTGAAACATTACATAAATATATATATATATATATGTATTATGAAAATGAATACTATTATTATGACCATAGTGAAACACGAAATACATTACTGATAATCATGCTTTATTTCATATCTACAAGATAAACGACTTCTTCAAGCAAGAATGTATATTGTTGAATTTAATGAAAAGATTTAGACAATCAGTGATGCACTTCAAAGAAAAATGCATCAGAAAATAGTGTGTAGGCTTTACATACACATTTACCATTTCAATTCTTAAGGAAATGAAACTATGTAACCTGGAAAAAGCGCAACAAATGTCAATTTTTTTTTTGTATACATTAGTTTACATTAAAGTGTAAAGTATACTGTTTCTTTTTTTAGTACACTTAACGATTAGAATATTCCAGTTGAATATGATTTGGTAGGATATTTAGTTGCATGTAAATTTTATCTTATTGGTTGTAGTATGATGAACAATTTGAAAATATATATATATATATATATATATATATTCTACTCCTGATTGGTGTTTCCTTTGCCTCTGGTTAAACGATATCGTGTAAAGCATCAATGATAAACTAAATACAATAGCAAATGTATCTAGATGATGATGATGATGTTGATTGTTATTATTCAAATCACAAGTGATTTAGCTCACTATTGATTATGGTCAATTTTCATTTTCTTTTAAATCTCCAGGTGTGTTGTTGTTCATTATGTGTCGAGTCTCCAATCTATTTGTTATTTGTTAATCCAATTTTTTGTGTTATGTCTTTGGATAATTTTAATACCAAAAATTTTGAAATTTTCGAAAGGTTTCTCTTTCTGTGAGGCTATTAAATGTAACCACTTGATGTGAAACAAGATATAATTCAGGTTTTTTATATGATAAGTGTATATCTGTCATCAAAATACATTAGTCATCAAACACAATAACCATATGTTATTTACTTGAGGTTAGAGTGTATACGGCAAAGATAATACCAGTTTATCTGACTGTATTGATGATTAGCCTTCTCTTGAAGTTTGAATGTTTTGACGTCATTGTTATTTTGAAAAATGGAAACTTACTACAAAAAATGACGAGAATCAAATCAAAGGCTCTGGTTATGATACTAAAATATCATAAATAACTGAACACATCAAAATGTTAAGATAATATTTTAACGATAAATGCTAATAAATGTCTCACATAAACACGATGAGTAAGAAAACTTGAGGCATTGATTAATTCTGAATGTACATTTACAATAAAATTTCTGTGTTAACTAACCTCACACACAGGAAGTGGAAGCCCAGACAAATTTGAATGAAGTAAACCAGACGAAAATGTAGTGGCAGGACATATTAATCCTGGATTACCAATTGCAGGTTTTGGTCGATAAAGAATAACTGGACCTTTATTTGGACACTGTAAATTAAAAATCACAACGATTGTTAACGATACCCTGTTTTTATAATACGTAATGTAAAAACGGTTGCGAAACAAAAGACCGACTAACAACAATTGTATTTAAATGTTTTTTCCCTAATGAGTACTTAAACTACATTTCTGTTTTACATTAAGACTTTTTTAACACGATAAAAAACTAACTGAGGCACACCTAATGATCGTTAAAACAAACCTCATTTACTGCCTTTTAGTTTAGAGAGGTGACAAACACATAAATGATTGAAAGAAAATAAAAATAACTTCAATTATCCAGTTGCATCAGTTAGGACTAGAAATCCATCTGCTATTCATTGATATATCTTGCTTTGTTAGTTGTTCTATTCATTACTGATTAGCTTACTTTACGAACAAACAAAAAGTAAGAAAACAGTAGTAATATATTCATATTATTTTTGTCGCTAATAACCGAAGTTTTGTGCTGTCACAGTACCTTTCTAATCTCAATGAATCGAAGAATGCAGTTTTGTTTCTATGTAAAGCTAGCATTAATATAACATATTTAGCATTATTTCGTAACTTTGAGCCTATAGTGGACATATTGTTAATATGGGTAACTGAATTTAATGTTTCCAAAATTGAATGACGTTTATGTGACTAGAAACTGTTGACTAGTATACAAATGTATGTAGCCCAAATTAAAAAGTTGATCAGTATTATAAACAGAGTTCATCAAAGTACGAAAAAGTATTTCATTGGAACATCTTATCACATAAATGATTTTAGTTTTCTTCAAAACAGTCTGATTTCGGAAATTATAAACATAACTAACAAAGTCTGAAGTTATAACACTAAAAATAAATTAATCTTTCGTACAAGACTAAAAATCAATACTCATAATTTTGTGGCTTTTCACTCTGGTATTGCAAACTATATCTTGCATTATTATCCAAGAGCCGTCACGCATTAGTTACTGTTTAAAACAAACTGATGTTTTAGGATTTAAATAAACTAAAATATTAAACAGGAAACTTCAATTAGTTTGGATAGAAATTATTTAGATAGAAAGAAAGTAAACGACACTCGTTTATATATATAATGAACTGAGAATTAGAAAGAATAGTCACATACCTCTAAAAATATATCACACAACAATTGAATGCATTTCGAAATTGCATCTGCAGTACCTGATATTGTAACTGTTCTTTCTGTGGATGTTGGTAAAGCTTCACTGGCAACTTGAATTGATGCACCAGTTAGCTAAATGTTTAATAAAAGTAGCAGTTGTTCATAAAATATGGTAAACATTTACGTCAGATTATTATTACTGAATAGTTTAATAATCTTTTTATAGTTTGAACTTCGCCTATTTCTTTAAAACATTTTGTAACTAAAATTACTTTTCTTCAAATGCGTTAATAATTTAAATATTAACTTACAAAATCGTAAGTGTTTGATGTTTTTCAAAACCTTCAAGCTAAACACAAATAAATTGTTTATTGATAAACTACTAAGAAATAGCAGTTATCATACTTTTCTAGTTATTAGCTTTTACTTCAATAATAGAAATTTAGTTTCAGTGGGGCGACTAGTCTGAACTACCGGAAATTGTGATTTGAAGTCACAAGGAAACTGTAAGCCTAGGTTTCGTGTGATTCGGGTTTCTTCAACAATACGTATCTAAAATCTTAATGGAGCTCATAGTCATTCAAGCAGCTCACCAGGCTAAGATATTTTAGTTAACTCACTAGATTTCGACAATAAATTTAAAAGCTGGAATTTAACATATTAACGATTCAATTTAGTTTCATGAAAAAGAAAAACTTTTTATTTGACATTTATGACACTGGAAGTACATACTATAAGGTTAAACATCGTATATTAAAAGAAAATTACTTTAAGTTTTCAGTATAAGTTATCAATGACAACTGATGTATTATATTTTACCTTAATGATTTCAAAAATTTCATTTATACAAAAAAATGTGTTGTTGGTTTAACTGTCCATAATTTATTTTTCAAGTATACGTGTTTTACATACACAACTATTTGATTTAAATTAATTCTGTTCACTTTGTGAACTGCTTTTCGTAAATGATCAGAATTTGGTAATTTATATATATATATATATATATATATATATATATATATATATATATATATATATATTCATTTTCTAAAGAAAATATTTCTATGATATAAATTAGATTCCAATCTCCACTACCAATCAAATGAGACTAAACATCATCCAAATCAACCAAAGAATAATATTAATTATTGGAAACAGGAAATAAGGGTGATATATTCTGAACAAGTTAGAATTAAAAAAACAAAGATTCATTGAATTAAGTGCTGCGTCGTAATACTTCCTACTTTTATTTTTAGTGAATTATTTCAATTTAGTTTAATTCATTCACTTGATAATACTTGACCAAGTTGGTTCAATAAATAGTTCAATTGTTGTTATGAATTCTACATGTGTTTGATGCAGAGTATATGAAAGTCAATTAACTGAGGTGATTATTTATATGGCCTGAGTTTCAATCGCACTACTTTGTAGGAAATTTTCATCTGATTTCCTGAGAACATCAATGTATATTTAATAGTGTATCAATTCATGCATTAACAGGTCATTATATTAGTAAAAAATTAGGGTAAATGTAAATACAACTCATACGTATGTATTTTCTACCAGAACAGATTTGTTACAGACATTGTTTTTCGAGTTTAACTGAATAAGATACAAAATAACGAATGTTTATAATGAGTTTAAATAGTTATTTCGCTAGTTCATCTCAAATCAAAAGAAACTGAAGTTTAGCATATAAGATGAATAAATTAGAATATTGAATAGAGTTTGATTATTTTAGTTGAATACATGATGTTCGACGTGTTATCAGATACTTTCTGTGTCGTTTAACCACTAAACTACTTCCATCTCTACCCGGAAACAAACACCGATCATGAATCAACATAAAGGTTCGTTAAGTTTATAAAAAGTTTGACAAAAGGATGAGATTAGAGAAAACTGAATTGATTTCAACGAAACCAATATTCTTTAGGTTTTTATCACATTTAAAGACTCACAACTGAAGTTTTCTCATACATAAACCAATACGGTCAATTTAATTATGCCAGTTACAGTGTAGCTGGTTGCAATTTCTAGCTAATAACTACAAATAACATCAACATCATCTTTAACTCACACAATTAACTACGACTAATTCCTTTATGATTTATTATTTATGGATCTGTCTTCAGTTCTGGTACATTTCAAATAACTACACTACTCAGCATTTTTTTTCTGTATTTATCATTACGGACAGGCCGGAGCTGGGCAAAGATTAAAAAACAAGAGGTATAACAGACTAATATTTGTTCTTAGTTCTTAAGTGTTTTAATCTGATTTATCAATGAAAATTTCAACATTTAGACCAGGTTTATTAGTGAAATTTTAAATTCCAATTTCTCAAAGTCTTGTCGTCAAAGATATTCGTTATTTGACGGTTTATGGAATCGAATTCTTATGGCCTTTTTGTAAGTAATCGGAGCATTTTCACATTTACTTGATCAGACGAATTATAAATAACACCGGTCATTAAACAGTGTATGTTTGCAATCCTGAAAATCATACCAAAAGAAACAGAGGAACGCGGGAACAGTTTAGTGACCTAGATAAGGTTCTTTCGAATATTTCAATAAAACACATTTATGATTTCGTGTTATGATGCTTCTTCCTTTGTTTTGAGAGAAACAACCTAGTGAATTTTAGTGTGTAACATCTATTAATTCTAAATTTGCAATTCTCATTGAAGATGGAGAATTGGAAGAAATAATTAAATATTATTTATCCGCAAAATGGAGCACATTAAAATCTAATCAAAATTGCTGTCACTTCTCTTACCTCACGAACATCTTTGATCTTGGATCCGCCTTTACCAATTATTGAACCGCATTGAGCTACTGGAACCAATAAACGTAAAGTCACTGGAGGACAGTTGACTGTTTCATCGCCCATTCGTAATAAACCTTGTGTAAAATCCTGAATGTTTTTAAAAACATGTATTAAGTAAAATTAGTTATTTCATCGAGTATTTGGAACAGAGAATTGTTCAGATTGTCATTCCGTCAAATCCTACTGTTTTAAATATAAGTACAAAAATATGAAATTCTGGTATTACATTTAATAAAGACGCTCCTGGATCATCAAACACCGTATGACATTTACCGAGCTAAATATATCTCACTCGTTTATGGCAGTTAGAACGAGATATCTACATTTACAAAATGGTGAAATAATTTTAAATGATTCCACTTTTGTTCCGCCTACGTGTTACGCCTTTGTCAAATAATAAGTGCTTAATAATTTCTGGTTCATGACTTCCTATAAGATCGTCTTGCTTAGCTGAAAATAAACTTGCTAATTACTGTCATCGTAGGTCACAGGAATAATAGGTTAAGGTTTTTAACAGTAATGAAACATCACTTTCTTAATTCGATTCATCGATAGTGTTATTTGAACATATTGCAAAATATTACTTTGTACATAAAGAAATTGTTCCAATAAAAATTTATAAAGAGGTCAAAGATCATCGAATACCTTTCACTTACATCTTCAAATTTACGACTCATTAGTGTAAATGCAATGTAAATTTGTTCTGTTGTTCCAGTAATAGTAACAATTCTTTCCGGACTAGACCCATCAGATATATTGATTCTGGCTCCGCTCTATAATTATTCATTATAAGACATATACACAAGTAAAATTTAAATGAAATTAGTAATTTATTATAGCACGTTTATGTAAGTTATGTAAATAAGTCACTGTATAGGGTCTAGATTAGATATTTAAATTTAAGCGAACATGATTATTAAGCACCGAGGTAAGACTGAAGAATAGTGTGATCACTTTTCAATATAGACCATAGTTTATGGTTCAGATTATGATATTTTATAGCACAATCTATGAAGGACATAATGCAGTTGGTTACTACTGGAAACTTAACATTTTATAAATTTGCATAAGTTTTTTATTATTTCGTGTTGCTCAGCAGAATATCATACGTTAGGTTAGAAAAACCAAACTGTCGTTAAATAGTATCTTTAAGTATCACTGTGTGTTTATGAAGATACTTGCACTTAACGGAGATAATGAATGGGGTGTGAGGAAAGTATCAACTGAAGACAATAGTATTTGGTCACACAGTATCACGAATTGATTGAGACTAAACTCGTGCTTTCTTAAAATCCGGTTGGCTGATCTAGAGGTTAGGCATTTCCTGGCTATATAGGAGGTCTGGAGTTAGATTTCTGGTTGCGTAGTGGTATATATGTACTAATAAAGAAACATATGCCAGGACAAAACGGCTATAAAATGTTGCCAGGTTTTCAACGGTTTTCTAACACACAGCCGTTCGTGCTCTTAGATGTTACTATAAATTTTTTAGTTATTCATCATATACGTGTCAACTTATTTTCACTTCAGTATACTAGCAATATAATTTCAGATTGTGAGACCAGAATAACGTCTATGTTTCCTTTGAAGTGAATACAATCATATTTGGTTATTCATCTAAATCAGTATCTGAATCTATGTAAAACACATTTAAACGTTTTAAAAATCCACATTCTTATGCATGAAATTCTCATTTCCTCACAAACTTACTTCTTCTCTGTATTTTCTAACATTTTCTCCTCTCTGAAATGAGAAAAAAAAATATTTTTGTGTCAAAGATCGAATCGTAGATAAACATATAATTTAACTGATATTTTAATCTCATTATCTGTTTAAATAGTAACCATATTTATTCAAAACGACACTGTTTTCTGATGTGTGAAATTCATCATTAGTTAGTGTTTAATCGCTATTCTGTGTAAATATGTTTGACAAACAAATATGTCATTATATTTTCCAAGTAGAATCTTTAAAAAAATGACAGAAATTTAAGTCCGGGGTGATCTTTTCAACGGGAAAGACAAAAAGCATTTTAAAAAACCTGTCAAATTAAATATTTTAGGAAGGGTTTTTTGAAAATTTTACACAAAGACGGATAACCAAATATTCTTTACACTCATGACAAATAGTATGTAAAATTTTTGATTGAACTATGAATGAAAATTACCATAATATGAAAATTTACAATAAAGTTATCTGTGAAACTAGCAAGGAATTAATGACTCAATGATAGTTTTTCTTGTTTTATCAAACATTTGACAAGATTTAGTTTCCTTTTCCTTTTTAAACCTTAAACAATGCCAAACATGTTTATCTGACTGAAAAGTTAAGCAAATCCAATCAGTTAGTTATTTTCAATTAGTTTTGAGTAAATTGAATTGTAATTGTTAAAAATCACTACTTGATCCACGCCAAAATGAAAAAAAGCATTTACGTGTAGATGGACAGCATCACGAACCAACATTAGCTGAATAAACATTGTAAACCGTTTTTTCATAGTTCTGAACTACTGAAAAGTGTCCAACCACAAGTGATAGAACTAGGTACTTTTAATTGAAGTGTAGTTTCTCTAAATCACTGAGATGAAACTCATTAATTCATTTTGCTAGCTTGAGTCTATCCATAGTGCTGTGTGACTGACTCTCTGTCTCTCAAAACAGTTGGTAAATTTACTGCCGATATTAGTAAAGTCACCTTATTATGCAGCCGATTCATTCTTTGCTTTGAAATGACGGTGATGATTTTAACTCCGGTGAATACTTTTGATAAATTTTAGTTTCCGAAGTTGAAAAATTAGCTGCCAACCTATTGTTATCGTTCATTAGGATTTCAACTAGGTTTTTTTCATAAAGAAGTGTTTTTCTTCTGGAATTTACTCAGTGACTGGTTCATGTTTATGGTATGTATAGTTTGGTTGAAATTATTTTTAAATTGAAGAGTTTTCATTAACCTTAAAAAATGATGTTTGATACTAGCAGTTGAATTTAAGAAATCGAAATACAAGTATATAACGTTAAGCATATCATGCAAAAACATAAGGAACTAGTTTCTTGAAACCAATAAAATGTTTTACAAAGGGGTTAGACCAAGGAAATGGGATATCATAATCATGTTTATACGTCAATTTCTATTCCCAGTTGAATTAATTTTATAAATATTTTTAATGCATAATTTGTTCCATATAAAAATGCCATCATATCCTTGTCAATATATCTACTTGAATTTATAACTGAATTGTAGACCAGGTCAAGGATTTTAATCTGTAACCGATACTTTTAGATGCAAATAATTACTTTTTTATGACATCAAGTGAACATGGAAGTCTTGATCGTTGGTGCTTCTGTTTACATCTATCAGTTCACTTACCTTAGGTAATTAGTGAACACAAACCAGATTCAGCATTCGATTTTGACAGGTTTGAGAAAAAAATACATCCCACCTTTATCCTTGCAAGAAAAGTTACGTTTTTGTAGAATTTGGCTAAATCTAATTACACATTTTCCTTTCCAACTGCTTAAATCAACAAAAGCTGTGACGATCTATCAAATAAAACCTAATTTCTATATGCTAACATTAGACATGTTTGAAAAAGTTATTACTGCATTTCTTTTCTTGACATATTACAATGAACAAATTATGCTTACATTTCACAGTTTGTCCATGAATTAAAGAAAAAAAAACGCATTCACTATGAAAGTGAAAAAAAGATATTTATCTACTACACATTAATTACATAATTGTAGTTGTGGAATGAACAACAACAACAACCCTACCGACGATCATCAAGAAAACAATGTGATTTCGAATTAAAACACAGAAAAAAAACGTTGAAGTGAATTTTCAAAAAAAATAAGAATGAAATAAATGATAAAGTTTAATTTGTGCAAACTGTATACCATAAATGTTATGATGAATGAAATCAAGATAAATGTTTTACTAAAAACAATGTGATACCAGTGTTTTTTATGATCCAGATAGAATAATAAAAGCATCAACACTTTTACACGGCCTCATCGAAGCGAATGTACTAATATACATACACTCTAATCAAACACACACAATTAATCAGTGTATGATGGAGAAAAAAACATTTAGGTTAGTGTTAATTAAAATGATTAGTGAAACACAGGTATAGTGTAGCATGGAAGAGAAGAAGCTAGAATGATCAAGAATAAGAAAGGTAACGAAAAAAATAGAATGATGTTTGTTTGTGTTTTATCAAAAATCGACCTGTTTGAGATATGGAATTATTTTGATAGCTTTTTATTGGACTGAATGAAGTCAGGTGTCTATTTTTCCGAATATTTGATAAATTTAAGTCATGGGATGGGATAAATTTTTTTTGTCTAGTGACAATGAATGAGGAAGTTTTTAATGTACTGCCATGATGTTTATGCTTTTGGATCAGTAAATCCAGTTGACAGACACAATAACGTTAAGAAAATATAGTTGTTCTCGAGTGGGAACCTGCCTTTTGGCGAAATTCTCCCATTTTTGAAACAATCAGAAAAATCATAGGTGACATAGGATTAAGAAACAGATCAAAAGGGGGATACAATCAAAACAATGGTGCAAACAACGATAGGTATATGGTCAACAGCAACCTATCAATATCGAGGTTAGCAGAACAAGCTACAGGTCAAACGTGGAGAAATTCGAATGCTTCACTTCTATCTGAAGTTTGTGCTGATGATGTTGTTCAGAAGAACAATGAAAGCTCCACAACCAAAACATTCAGCTCAGAGAACCAAACACCGCCACCAAAATCATGCACCTGAGCTACAAATCTTCTCCACCATCTCAAAATCAAATGAGCGTGACACGCATCTTGTTGTTCGAAAATGGAAGAATTTGGCCAAAAGGCAGACAATAACGTTAAACATATCTGTTGTTTTGACAACAGATTTAAAGTAGATATAAGAATGATAATTGAGTGTGAATGGACGTTTCTTTCAGTACTTCATTACAACTAGAACACTTAGTAATGAACCACATCAAACATACTTTTGATCACGTGTCAAACAGTAATAGAAAACCATAGCTAATAAGACATTATCATTTTGGTTTTTAATTTATTCAAAACCAATAATGGAAATGATACCACAAAATTTTTTATATTAGTTCGAATAAACCATCACAAGCCTTATTAATAATTACTAATTTTTATGAACAGCCCTAATTTTTGAAATTAAGTGCATCAAATAAATATCGAGTATTTTAAAACAAAGAACAATTATCTTCTGAACATAGTGCCATTTTGCTAAATGAAGAAAAATGAAACAGCTTCAGATTATCTAATAGCATCACAGAATTCTACTTATTTTATGGTCGTCTGAGTTAATAAAGGAATTCAGGCAATTCAGTTAAGAAAATTTTCTTTTTGACAAAATCATTTGCTTAAGTGGTACATTGATATTTTTAGCTGTTTTCTTCATTAATATGAATTTTATCAGTTAGCAAATATTTTATTAAAGAAGGTTTCAATCTGAAACAACACATAGCTATATGGATATGATTTTTATTCGCGATAAGTAAATGCACAAATTTCCACTGGATTTAAAACTTTGCAAGTTTGAGAAAGGTAAACGAATCGTATTCTATTCCATCTTTGTGGAGGTTTTTTAAGACAATTTGACTAGTGAATCGAAGTCCATCAACTAAAACACTTTGACAGTTAACTGTGTCAACTACTACAAAGTTTGAAATGACTGACAGATGAGACTTGAACTACGTGAGGCAATATATACAGTGAATTTTCACTAAAAATTTCAGTTGCAATATGTGTCAAACTGCAAAGCTAGTTCACTTTCAGAGATTAATAATTTTTGATTATTTATGAAAAAATGTCTGTAGATGCCTAACCACCTTAGAAGGGCTGAAATAAATTCGCCATTATTCAGGAAACAGTGTAGTTCACCACTTTTGTACTCATTATTCATGATTCATGAGAAAAGAATATATTTCTTTTTGTTTCATTAATTTTTACTGTATGAATTTTTTACGCTATTCATGTTTCATTTTATTGATATTTTAAATTCGGAATTCGTTTCATCTCGGTTTTTTGTAGAAATCATTAAGTATTCTTTACTACTTTAATACAACAAAAGAACAGTCATGTGATCTAGTATATGTATGTTGCGTATTGCAGTAGAATTCAGGATACGCTTAGCGTCCTACTCAGATGTAACTGTGCTGATGTTCACGCTGATATTTGAAACCAGTATTTTTCACTTCAAACGCCAAAAAATCAGCCATTAAGCCGCTGCATCAACGTAGCCAAGGGAAGGAAGATTAATGGATTTTAATTTTCATTGAGGTGGTTCAACAAACTTGAAAAAAAAACTAGTCACTTTAACAACAACTATTTATCTATCTATCTGACATTTCTACACGAAGGTATTTTCCGATATGAATGCAAAACTACGAAACACAGGGTCCTACATAGTCCATCCAACGGTGAAAAATATCAAATTGATAGTTCTCATTTCTTTCGGCGATCAGCGTTTTCAAATGCGAACTGCACAGCCAACATTCATTCATTATGAATTACATTTTCTAGAGTTTCATATGATTACATCTTTCATAATATAAGCAAAGAAAGTTAGTTAAGTGAATTATCTGAAGTTTAAAACTATTTCATACATGATTTCTTCACATCAGAAATAAATGCCTATTTGCTGATAACACAGTCTAGTCCTTGATAGAGATTTACTTTTTTGTTTACTTTATAGCATTTCTGCAGA